GAGCGAGTCGCCTCGCAGGGGGCCGCCGGGCCGCCTCCCCAAAGTGCCACACACTCCAGAGGCAGGTAGCAACTTTCCTGAGTGGGTATCCCACGACGATCGGGGGACCGGGGTTCCCAAAGCCGGGAGGCTGCTCCCTATTCAGAAATGCTCTCTGGCCCTGTTGACACACGCGCCGAGTTGTGACAGTTTAAGCGGCCGAAGGAAGCGTGGTCCTGGGACATGGGCAGCAGATGAGGCCAGGTGAGACCAGCACCTGCAGGCGCGTGCCTGGCCCCCGGGCGGGTTCTGTGCAGCCCAGTTCAACTCTAGTTTTTGTTGTTTCCCTAGAGGTGGAAAGGATGAAATCAACAGGAATGTGGGATATCCCCCACCCCCTCCTTTCTGGGAAATCTGTGGCTCCACAATGAAAAGCAGACTTCTGCTCCGAAGTTGCTTGGAACGGCGAAAGCCAAACTATTTTTAAGCGGACATGTTAAAACCGGGTGTTTCTAAAACCAGTGCAGCATGCCGATCGGCCAGAATCAGTCTAGGCGAAAAAGCTGCAAGTTTAGAGAACCAGAAGAATGAGAAGAGCATATTATTAAATCAGGCTTAAAATTTGACCATTTACAAAGGCCATACAGGCAGAATACATTGCCACCATTTCACAGTTCTCAGGTGGTTGAAAGTTTCTTCTTTCTTTTAAAGTTTACGCCCTACCCCTAGAGTTGGTAGGTATATGAGCATCTCCTGGACTCCGAAGTTTAGAGCAGCACGCTGATATGGAACATGGCATTTGATTTCCCATGATTGCACAAGGAAGTGTGCTGTTTGGATCGTGCATTGTGATGGAGGGATAAGTGACCTGCCTGCTGAAAGCATAGCTTGTCCATATTGCTGTTTCACAGACTTTCTGTGCCTTTTAACTCCTCCCTGCCCCCCCCCCCCAGTTCAGGAAATTATGGACCTATATATAAAGCTGGATGATTCCAAACATCGTCTACCCAGTGTTTTTCCAGGGCAAATGTGACATAGCTGTCAATTCAGTTATTAAATGTGTAATCATGATAAGAAAATGTAGTCAAGTGCTGGCACATTTGTAAGCTATGTGTGTAGGCCATGTGTCTGATGTTTACAAATTAAGAATTCCACATTTTAAATTAGCTAATTTTGCTAATGTTAATGACTAAATTGTCCTTTGACTGAAATGACACTTATTGGTGCTGTTATTTTAGTTTTTACTGTTCCTTATTGTTTTATGTCTATACAGCTTCTCTAGAGTTAACTGGAATCACTACTAGTGAATTACCCATTCATTAATCATTTACGATGAAGTGATTTTTACTACATCGAAAATGCTTACAGTTCATTCCATTACTGATATCAGCATTTTCCTCAATCACTGAAAAACTCCCATGTTTTCCCATTATTATTGCTTTTGAATGTATTAAAAACTTGACTCATGTACTAAATGTGTTTGTGCTAAGTGCACTTTC